ATGTGACACTGTTTAATTGCCTCTTCTGGGTCCTCGTCGTATGATCTACAACATCACAATTTGAAACCAGAATCATACAACGATAAATTAATCAAAACGATTATCGACATGTTGTGATTGAATATCTTAACATAGAAAGTCGTCAGCAAGAACAAACACTACAATGCTCTGATGAGCTTTACAAGACTTTAAGAGGAAAATCTTCCAGGTATCCCAATTTTGAAAACAAGGCCTGACTACAACACCGCAGCTACGTTCCCTACACTTTGCGAGAAGTGCGTAGGCTCTTTAACGTCCCTGCTAACCAGTACAGAGAAGAGACAGTTTATTGTCCTTATCTGAGAAGAAAAAGAGAACAAAGTAGCCACACTGATCGAGAGTGAGAGGGGAGAAGGGTGATTATCCCCAGCCCGCCACGCCGCTACGTTCAATTTTAAAGAACTTAAAATAACTTTTCAATGCGTCTCTTTGAAGGACGTATCGTAAGAGGAAAACAAACCTGACGATGGTGGAAAAGGTCAAAATGAGGAGTGTTTTCCACCTTATAGGATATGACACGACGTTCTCACCTTCTTGCTTGTACAAATTTTTTTAGAAAACCTATTCTTTGTTTCAGGACAGCCACCTTCTCTTCTTGATCCGTAGGGTTTTTCGTTTTGGCTTTCGCCATACATTTATACGCTTCTGTAAGTGCCCCGAGAGCTTTGTCGTAGTTTTGATACTCATCAATTTCCACCTAAAGCAAAACAAAGTAAAACAACAGTCCTTCGTTATACTTTTATTTCTGAATTATCTACAATTTTTTTAAGGCCCGCGGGAAGCCAATACTTGTCTACGCGGGCCAGTTTATAGCCAACGTGTACCCGTACCCTTCCCCCCAGGGAGAAACGGGGGCGGGGGGGAGGGTACCGCTACAAGTACGCTAGCCAGTCTATAAATATCTAATTACAAACAATACGATACAACAAGAAAAAAAATTAAAAAATTAAAAATTATTTAAGAATTGAAAAAGGAGGGAAAGAATGAGGGGATGTACTGTAAAATGATCATCTTAATAATAATCTAACATTACACATTTTTTTTCTTTTTACCTCTTACTTTTCACTTATGTCCATCAATAAATAAATCTACATCAAAAACAGTGTTTTGTATTTTGACTTTGAATGTTCCTTTTTTGGGGGTAGCATGGGATCTCATTCCTCAGTACCGATACCACAGCACCAATTCTCGATCTTATTTCAAGTTTTGAGGGCTTTACGTAAAAACTATTGAAGGTAACAGAGCGTATGTTGTAAGAATGAATACTTTTGTACAGCTACTGACAGAGTCAAAAGGAAAAAAATTAAGGCGAGTACCGAGGCAATGACAACAAAAGAGAACAACACGATAAACATACCTGCGCACAGGCGTCGTAAAAACTTGCCAGCGAATCGAGCGCTCGGCCTTTGGTGTAGAAAGCTATAATGTTCTTCATGATCTCGGGATCTTTGCGCCAGTCTAGAGACTGGAGATAGTTGGCAGCCATTACGTAAATTTCCTTCTGTCTGGAGACACCAGCGAAGAAGATGATTTTCTCTGTGTCGCCGGATTTTAAGAGAGATTTCATCGCC